GTTTCCAGCCAACAAAAATTTTCCCATATTGTTTTCTCCTTGAATTCTATAATTGTATATATATATATAAGAATTTTCTATATTTCTAATACCAAAAAAATAAATAAAAAATGAAAAAAGGTTATGACATTCCATGTGGATGGAAAGTGTTGCCGGTGATTGCAGCAGTGCATTTAGATGCGTCAGCATTTGACCAGCCTTGGCACTTCTACCCATGGAGATGGCAGCAGCAGGTAATTTCTTTATTTACTCTACTCATTAATGTGTTTTTTACCGTCATTTTACTTATCAAGGCGAGACAAGATTAAAGCTCTCATGCAAATGAAATAATCTCAAATTAACAAAGCCTATTTTATAGTCTATTTAATTAGCTTATAAGTTTCGTGTATTCAAATATTCTTCGTTTGGTAGGACGAGCTATTTTAAAAAGCTCGAACTAATCTCATAAGATTATTCGGGTAGATTTTCAAATATGTTTGCTGAAATTTTTATCTAATTTATCAGTTAATTTTACACCACACTTTTATATAAACTACTTTTTCAGCTATAAGTCATAAGATATAAATTATAAATTCGAAAATCACTAATAAACTATAAGCTTACTTATCAGCTAACAGCTAGCTTATCAACTAGTGTTACCAAACATAGCTCTAATCAACTGCTTTGATTTCAAGTTTTTGTGAAACATATGTAGGAATTAATTTTATTTCCTAACAGCATATACACTAAATTGTTTCTAACATAATTACTAGATTGCATGTAACTAAATGACACTATTTTTCAACAAATATTTTAGTTTTGAAACATTGAAAAATATCTTGGCAATCATGCAATAAGGTGTTTTGTGTGTAATTGATAAGTGTGGTCATTGGAATTTAATGCAGTACTGTTGGGCAGGAGGGCCCTTATTATTGAACATGATAATGATAGTATGGCATTATCCAATCTGTGGGCGTGTACCTCCGTTGACCAGGTCAATGTAGCGAACAGAATGTAGTAAACAGAATTGTTGGCAACAAATCCAGCAATGTATAATGGTTTTTGTTTTTTCCAAACTTGTTTTGGACAAGTTACGAGATGATTTCAAAAAAATTTTAAGAATTAAAATGAAATATTTTTTATTATCGACATAAAATTAAACCATAGTGATTCAAAATTAGGAGTGAATTTAGTCTTTTAGATGTATCCTGGTAATTGGCCCGCTCAAAAATTTTCAACTATTTGTTCTATATAATTATAATTTACCCCATTTAATTTTTATTTTGCCCCCTCCATTAAAAATAATAATTTTAAAGATAAAAAAAATAAGAAATAAGAATAGTCATATTTATTGAAAAGTTTATAATATCCAACTTATGTTTAAATTTTTGCTAATTCATCTTTTGGAATATTTCATAATTTTTTAATAATAATAATAATAATAATAATAATAATAATGATGATGATAATAATAAGATAAATAAATGATAACCTGTGCTCTACAAAAAATCAATACAATGAAAGAAAATAGCCATTATTATTCAAACACCTTATATAAATAAATGAAACATGAGTTAAAACAATATTAACTAACCAATATACCTCCTTGGGGCTAATCTTTTATCAAATAAACTTAAAAGCTAGTTGTCTGACTCAAATAAGAGTTTAAGTTGTGATCGATGGAATTAATTATATTTTAAGCTCATAACCGATTTATTTAATAAACGGGTTGCAAAAATAAAATAATTAGTAAATAACTCCTATTAAAACTTGTAGTGTAAATCTATATATTTTGTTTCCTAAATAAAATTCCTGCTTCCAATCTTGATTGTACTTGGACGGGACGACAGCTCTGTAGAAACGTACCACGGAAAGAACCCTTCATATATAGATCCTTCAACCCATCATTAGCACATGTTTTTTTGTCATCCCATCTTATATAGTACCGTGAATCATCAAATTTATGGAACCATAATATCAACATAGCCAACTTTATGAAATATACAAATTTATATATACTATATCAACATGCTTTTGTTTATATTATAATATTTAAAAATATAACATTTCAGCGATAAATATACATCTCTATTAAATGAGTATGACCGTCTACATCTACCTATCCACAGTTTTGGTGCCGTTAAAGTTTCAATACACGCATATATAATTTTTAAAAAATATATAAATAATAGTATGACATTTTATAAATTAATTATTCATTTTCTATTAAAAAAAAGTATGCCGATCGACATACATACATACATACACACACACATATATATATATATATATATGGCCTCATTTACTTGAAATGATTGGATAGAATGGTTTAATCTCATGAGTCAATTTTTGTCCCATGAGTCAGCTTTACTAAAATTATAATTATTTGGACATTCAAGGGTATAATGGACATTATACATGTGATTTTTCGGACAAAAAGGTCATTTTTCTGTTGGGATAAAAATATCTCACCTTCATGTGATGATAATTAGTATCCCACCATAAATACGACTTAATTTATTCACCAACTGAAGCAATAGGAAATTAGTATGTCATGATAATTACATATAAAAACTTAATTTGTTCACCAACTAAAGCAATAGGAAATTAGTATGTCATGATAATTACATATAAAAATTATCATAACTTGAAATTATATCTTGCCAATGAATTCCAATTTAATTCTTCATACATTGCTTTGTGTCAATGTTGCTAATGTGCAAGTCATTCATAGTATTGACAAAAAGGGAGGTGCCATCAGAAATAAGGAGGATAAGATTTGTTTTCTTTTGAAGGGCTAAGGGGTTCCAAAGTAACTAGTGTATACCCCGTGCGATGCACAGAAACAATATTAAATTAACAATATTATAAATAGACCTCGAGTTTGAGTCACTCAATGACCGAAGTGGAAACTACTATTGATCCTATTTAAAAAGAGGAAGCAAAAAATATAATTATAAACTAAAGAGGAAGATAAACAATACTTAATAATTATAAATTAAAGATTCGGGATCAAACAATGTAAAATTATTGTGTATAAGATAATATAAAAAAATTTGATTACACACCATTTCAAAATTAGTATTATACTTTTTTGTATGGTTAGCTTATAATATTTGTAAAAATATTAGTAATTAGACCGATAAAAAATAGCTTCTTAAAGTAGATAATGGATTTTCAGTAGTAATTATGAATTGATTTCTATTTTATTTTATTTTTTCTTTTTAAAGATAATGGATTTCTAGTAGTAATTATGAATTGGTTTCTATTTTTTTTTTTTTTAAATTTGTATAGATAAGGGATGAAATTTTTTAAACACGGGAGATGTATGCAATGGGATTTTGTAACAGAAGAGATAAACGTGTAGATTTATACTAAAAATAGGAAAAAGAAAAACAAATATTTATTGTCAAACAACGGTTTTAATAAAAAATGAGCCGATTTTTTTGTCTATTTAGATTTGTCCAACAATTACTATATTAGGATATATTTAATGATTTTGGCGGGAAAAAGTTTCTAAATTTGTAAAAAAGTTATTCTTTTTATATAATGATAGATTATGTGGTTTCGAACCTATTTATTAAATTTTGTTTTTTCGTAGTTCATAATTTCACGTGTTAATTTTTTATACTTTTGAATAGTTGATAGATTTGGACATTACCTATGTGTATCAGGACTTTCTTCATAACTTAAATGATAAAATATTTTTTGAAATCGATAACATTCATTTTTATTATCATATATTTATATATAAAATCAAAATCAATCATCTCTTAACATATTGAATATATAAATATACGTAAATACTTACCTTTATAATACAATTAAATTATCTATTATTGTACCAAAAAATAAATAAATTATCTATTAATATTAATTAAAAAAGAAAAACTTATTATATTCAAGCCCTTCACAATCATAAATAGTAGCAACGGTGGCCCACACAAGACGCCGTGATAACGGACGTCAAAAATAAAAGGTGTGGGAAATATATCACGGGTAGGAACACAAGTTGAAAATGTTGAAGCCGTGCGTGGGTACAGGGATGATTAAAGTCCCCATGTGGATTGTGGGGTCGCACGTGCATGTGCACGAGCGGACTGCCCCTTTTCTTTTCTGTCCCTCAGCCTTTTGCTTTTGCTGGCCCAAAACCCCCCACTTCATTTACTATTGTTGCCATCATTATTATTATTATTATTATTACTAGTACGGTACTCGTGCGATGTACGGGAACATTTATTACTTATTTATTTTTTAAAATGTATTTTGTATTTAAATTATCTCATGTCATTAAAAATTTCATGAAAATGAACTTTGTATGTTATTAAACACTTCCTTATGTATAACATTATTGATTTGATTCTTTGGTACGTAAAGTACTACATAGGTATTTTCAAATTTATCCAAAATTGCATATTATTAGTTATTAGTTAACAAATTTAAAAAAAAATTAAAGGATCTTATTTATTAAACAAAATTAAAGTAGAAAAAAGATAAATTTTTTAAGGGCTTTCACCCATTATTTATTTTATATCTAATTCTAAATTTCAGTTAAAAAAAATTAAAAAGAATCATTAGTTACTCCTAGAAATGAAACATATTTTCCTACCAATAAACCGATTTTTTATCAAACAAATTGATCCGAATTTTTTTTAAACCAATAAAAAAATCATCAATTTTTACTAAAAATGCAACCAAATTTTTCTAACATTGCACCGATTTTGTACCAAATAAATTGAATTGAAAATAATTTTAATAAAAAATTGAAATAAATTGTTAATGTTTATGCAATTGTCTCTTTACTAAAGGAAATTATATGAACTTAACAAAAGAAAATGATATAAACTTACCCAAATCTCGGTAAAACATGATTAAGAAAAAATATAAAATCCAAAAAAATCGATGCATTTGAATTTTGAAAAGTTGCACACATTTTTTCCTAAATAATTGGATAAAGTGACTTTAAATATCAATGGTGAACCGTTTTTGTTACCAAAAAATGTGGACACAATTTTGAATGTACATCCCATCCAAATATCTGTTTTATTTAAAAATAAAATTTGCACGTGAATTTATCCAATTTACATAAATTTTTTGAAAGAAAAAATTATTCAATAAGATTGGAAGAATTGGTTAACAATATACAGCTATTTGCTTCCTAAATTTGTATCCAATTTGTACGGTTTTAAATTAATTTGTATTTAGAATTATTTTCATAAATAATTGACACATTTTTTGCATAAGAATCTCTAAATTTGTTACAAAAAAAGATATGTTTTATATTTTGGTAAAAAAATAAAATATGATACGAAAAAAATGAGATTAAAATTTTTCCATAAAAATCTCCAAATTTGTTACCAAAAAAATAGGATTTAAATTTTGTTACTAAAGATTCACATGTGTTTTTTCAAACTTTCCATTAATAGTAAGTCAAACATTATACTTATTTGGTCAAACTTTCTATTAATATATTTTTCCAACAACCTCTTTACATATATAGATATAAATATAGATATAGATATAGATATAGATATAGATTATTATTATTATTATTATTATTATTATTATTAATTTGATTTTTATTTTTTCTATTTTTGTTATTTTAAAACTAAGAGTCTCTCCAATACTCCTTGGAGAGATTGTATAAATTCTCGCTCTAACCCACTTTATCTCTATTATGCATTTGTGAATAACACTGTAGCATCGGCGTGGGCGGAGGCACTCACATGCCTGCCTGGGCTGTAGCCCGAGTGCCCTCTGAGGAAGCCATCAATAATAGGAGTACAGTATACAATTTGCTNTACATACCAATTTCTATTACTTTATAATATAATTTATAGTTTTATTCGATATAATTTAATTTAGTTTGATAAATAAATTTAAATTTTATTTATAAGGATATATATTACTGTTTTGTATTTTATATGTATAATATGGATGTCAAATCGAAAATCGTTAAAAGATAGTTAATTTGATATATCATATATGAAAAATAAAATACAAACAAAAAAGTTATAAGATCTTAAAATAAGAAGAAGAAATATTTATTAAAACTAATGAATAAATTATATAAGAAAATGAAAAAATATTAATTTATATCCAAGCCTAACTCCAAAGCATGGTTTTTTGCCAAATAGGATTTCGAAGCATGAGAATTTGCCACGTAGGCTCAGCACATTCTGAAATTATATATATAAGAGGGGATAGAGGGGATTTATATATTAGAATTTATTTAAATGAAAATGAAAAATAAAATATTTAATATAGAGTAAAATATAACGCAAATGAGTGAAGATGAAACTTGAATTTATCTTACTCTAGAGGATAAGTTTCTCTAAAGGAAGGACTCTCTTCGCTTCATTAACAATCAAGTGCTAATGATATTATGTGGCCATTCTCGTATGCTGCACTTATTATGCCTGCATGCTTTAAGCTGGCCAACTTCAATATTTTAAGTAAACTAGTAAATATCCTGTGCACATGCACAGATGTACATAAAATATTATAAGTCAGATTTGAGAATTTAATATTAAAATTTTAGATAATGAACATATTACATTTCTAAAATATAATCATTAGGAAAAATAAATTAATGATTGTTTATTATTATGAACAATTGTTTATTATCATTAGATAATAGCAGTTTGATTATTATTATTATTATTATTATTGTTGTTGTTGTTGTTGTTGTTGTTGTTGTTATTATTATTATTATTATTATTATTATTATTATTATTATTATTATTATTTATAAGATACTAAAGTTGTTTGACTATGCTATTAAAACAATTTACTAATTGTTTGTAAAGAAATTTTTTCATGAGATATAAAAGAAAAAGATAATATTGATGTTAAAATAATTAACTTGAAACAATTGTTTATAATTATGCAATTTATATTTATTGTGAATTATTATTAGTTGGTATTAGCATTAATTATTATATAATATAATAGAAAAATACATAATTACACTCAATAGGATGTATTAATGTGAGAAGTAAAAAACATTAATTATAAATTTTGTAACCGAAAATGGAGGGAAAATTTTAGAGGTTTTATTAAATAGGTTTTCTTAAATGCTATTTAGCTAGTAATTATATATATATAGATTCACTACAATTGAACAGGATCTGTTTATTCCTTTGGTAATAGGAATCTTGCTCTGGCCTTTCCCTTTCAATTCTCATTTTAAAATTAATTTTTATTGTAACTTAAATATTGCCTTAGANAATTCCATTCAGTACCTATTCAAACAAATAAGAAACTGTGATCATCTGTGTTGCCATGATAAATATGAGGAAGGAGAGATAAAATGCCAATCCGGAATATCCCCGTTAAAGTTTACATATGTTAAGTATCGTAATTCTTTGTATCAATATTACATGATACAGTATTGATATAAACAATATAATATAATATGACTTACAAAAATTATTATAATTTACACGGAACGATAATGTGATTAATACAAATATTGAACGGGTGTTGTCTACACTAGTTATTAATTAATCAAGAGAATCTTAGTCTAATTTATGGGTTATTTCGATTTATTTGTTTTTAACTAAACCTCCTAATAATAATTAATAAAAACAATTGAGGGATTATTGTCACTTTTCTCACTTGTGATAATATAACATACAAGTTCGTCATACATAGAAAGAGATTTTCTTTTCCCTTTCATTATTAATCTTTTCGTGTCTATTCAATTCTGTTCCATTTTATC